GGGTAGAAAAGTTCCTAATAGCACTGTCCAATACAGTGGTTATGAGCCATGTGGTCATGGTACCCTGAAGTGTGGGCAGTGTGATTGAGGAATGAACATTTAATTCAGTCAATGTATTTAGCTGAAATTGTGATCTAAATAAGCATATAAGGGATGGCAAGATAGCTTAGTGGGCTAAGCACCTGCTTAGGCAAGTGCAGGGATCTGGGTTCAATCCCCAGCACCACATGCTGCCCTGGCCCCACACCCAGGGCACACTGAGTCCAGGCATGATGGAGCACACCTGTAATCCCAGTGTGGGGGAGGCTGGAACAGGAGGATCACTATGACTCTGAGCTGTGTAGAGAAACCCCGTACCAACCAAATACATAAAAGGCCATGTATACCAGTGCTGTCTTGGGCCATACAGGGGACAACTATGGCAGCTTGATGGGTGAGAAGGAGGATATAGGCCCCCTCATCAGTGCTGGAGTCCGTCAGGTTCCAGGCAGGGACCGAGCCACAGTTTGCTCTGATATTGCAGCTAGGTGCTCAGAGGGTGAAATGTGCTTCAAAGGGGTCTCCGAAGCCTGCTCCCTCTTCTAGTCTCTGAACTTCTATAGAATGGAAACCCACTGTGTAGGCAGGAGCTTTCTGTCTGCAGAGATTTCCTGGAAAAGCTTTTGTGCTTTCCTGTGGGAGTTATGGATTGCCGAGCTTCCTGACCAATGCTACATCCAATGGGATGGAATGGTGACACCCAGTGCCACCAAAACAGCGATATCAAAGCTATGAATCTCAGCTATGAGTTAAAGTCACTACAGTCTTGCTCCTTATTCTATAAAATGAGTATATAAGTGCGATGTTCACTTACATAGGTTAAAGGAGAGACAATAATTTCCCATACATACATAAAAATTCACCTCTAATATGTCCTAAATTAGATATTCCTCCTTGAGAATTATGAAGAAATTGAAGAGTTGAATCACAATAGTTTTGCACCTTCCTACAATCTGAAGAACATCTTAAATACTTTCATTTTTCTCTTAATAAATTCCTTTGCATCTAGCAAAAGTGTGCATAATTCTCCCAGTATCTGTTCTGTTTACCTGATGTCAAGTTCCCAGCAGCAGAAATCACTGAGGTAGAAGTGTGACGGCAACATGGGTACCTGGATCAGTGTGCACCGGGAGCCCCCAACAACGGTGGAAGCGATTTGGGATGAATTACCTCCTAGTGGGGATCTGCACAGGGTGGTGTGATTTCCATCACTCCTGGCTGTTATTTTCCTGCTCTAATTCCCAAATTCTGATTTAAATATTAAGGAGTTCCATCTTATTCTGTTTTGTTGTTTTGAAAACAAACTGCGATATTTATCTTTTTAGAAAAGGGAGGTGTTCATTGTAGAAAATAGGAAGTAAAAAGAGCCCCAATCCTACTACCAAGAGTTGGCAGCCATGAATATGGAGCATATCTGTTTTCAGTTAGTTTTGATTTCTGTGATTACACAGCACTGAATTTTTATCCTTTTTTCCATTCCATCTCCCAGCACATTTTTCCATATTTTAAGAAAATATTTCACAAACATCCTTGTAATGGCTGTGGCATATTTCACTGTACAAGACACTGAAGTTTATTAAACAGAGCCCCTATTGTGGGCAATTTTGCTTATGTTCTTTTTTTATTTTTTTTTAAATTTTTTGTAATGTATTTGATACAGGGTCTCACTACACAGCTCAGACTCCCTGGCGCTGGGATTATAGGCATGTGCCACCACGCCTGATCTCAGTGGCCTGCTCAGCACACCTGTGGGTGGGGCTGGCATGGCATGTGGTGCTGAGAATCGAACTCTGGTCCCTGCACTTGCCTAAGTAGACATTTAGTCCACTGAGCTATCTCACTGGCCCTTTCTTTTTTAATTTAAACAGCATTGTGGTGAAACTCTATAAAATGTCCAGATTCCTTCTTACTTTCTTAGATATAAAATTTCACTGTCAAAGAACAAGAGCCTTCTTTGGACTACTCATCGATGCAGCCACAGTATTCTCTAGAAAGATCTTTGAGTGTGGTTGTACTGAGTGTGGGGTTTTGACCCCACAGAGCTTAAGTTGTATTCCTAGTCTGCAGCATGGGTGCTCTTCCCAGCCATGTGACTTCAGGCAGATCGTTGGCATCTCCAGGCTTCAGCTCCCTGCCTGCTAAGACAGCATTGGCAACATCAGCCTCCATGCCCTGCACAGCCACAGGGCCAGTGGGTGGGAGAGGCTGAGCCTATGAAGGCGCTCAGCTTGGGAGCCGCAATCTCGTCCTCCTGCCAGTGGACTGTGGTGGATCTGTGTCCTCATGTTCTCACACATCCTGGCATGGTTTGGTGTAAAGATTATTAACTTGCTCAGAGAAAAACAATGTCTTAAAATGTTAACATCTTTGATGAAAATACATTTTTCCAGATTACAGAATGTTTCCAGTAAACAGATGACTTTGACAAATGTCATTCCTTCAAATGTTTTTTATGGGCTCCAAGCCCTATAGAAGCTCCAGTCTTCCTTAGTTGTAAAGGGCAAGCATATAATTACCTGACTCTGCAGGTGAGGTGTGGTGGACATAGAAATTAATAAATGTGTAGTTACAGGGTTTTTTCTGAGTCTCAATGATTGGATTTAGTGGTCCATAATTTGTTTTAAATTAAAGAAACAGCTTCCCAAGACAGCTAGTACAAACCAAGAAAAATTAAGAGACATGTAAAACAACAAACTTTTCACCAAAGTAAATTAAATTTCATTTGTTTAGTCTTCCTGAAATTTTACATAATCATGGTAGACATTCTTTGAAACTGAGAGATTCATTTCCCCCTAAAAGATGGGTCTTTCCCGGGCAGCTCCCTGGTTTGAGCAGCCCCATTAGATGCCATTTTATTGTGGTCACACCAGGGGGAGCCCCGCACACAGGAAACAGCCCCATACCCCCATGGGCTGGGAAAGAGGACAAGGACCAAAGTCTACCAGGGTAGTGAGTGGAAATGGGTTTAGAGGTCACACTCTGGCAGCCAGACATGCTGTTAGGAATCTGAGCATGGGGCTTATGGGTGTGGATTATTCTGAAATGAAAACTTGAGGCAACACAGGAAATGGTGTTGACACGGGACGTTCATAGGCAGATATTTAGAGGGCATCCCAAGGGCAAGCTTTGCTTGGATTTTCTTTGGAAGAACAGGCGCTCCACTCAACAGGAGGACTTCTTTGAGCATTTTTTAAAGAAAGATTTATTTGGTACAGGCTTTTGCCACACAGCCCGGATTCATAGTGATCCTCCTGCTTTTAGCCTCCCCAGCGCTGAGTTACAGACATGCACTACCATGCCTGGTTTCAGTGGCCAAAACTGTTCAAGGCTGGTGCAACGTGTGGTGCCAGGGATCAAACTTGGGTCTTTGCATTTGCCCGACATGCACTTAGCCTGCTGAGCTATTTTCCCAGCCCCTTCTTTGTTGTTTTGTGCCTCAGTAACTTTGTTAGAACACCATTGCACAGGATTCTTGTAACGAGAGAAAAAAATGTAGCAAGAAATGCAGCTTCAATTATTACAAAGGGGAAGAGATTAATTTTCTGTCTAAATAACACTCATTAGTCAGTGAAATGGACCAGGCTGTCTAATTTTAAGATATTTTCTTCTCTTGTCTCTGTGAGTTTTATTTCCCACGTCTGTACCCTGGACCGTTGGATTGTGGCACCTTTCCTGGTGCACTGTGGGACTGTGGGCTCTGAGTGTGCTTCCACTGTTTCATTTTTACTTGTAGCAGAACTAGGCCTATGCTATGCGGGGTGTGATGGCCATTTCTACAGTCTGGTGAGACACTGTCTCTCACCAAGAGGAAATACTGGCCTGGTGACATTGGAGGGCAGTGTCCCGACCAAGACCAGCAGTGCCACTTGTAACCTTGAGTGCTGCTTTTTGTGTGTTCAGCCTTAAAATTGACTTTGTGAAGATAGGAGCTTGCTGCACAAGGGCATGAAAACAATAAGCACTGTTGTTTTTTTTTTAATTTTGGGAGCTTTTATTTAAATGTCAACTGACAATTGTTAGGCAGTCAGTTATTCAAAGATAAGGGTGATGACTGTAGTGTGGTTTAAGAAAGACAATGCTTCTCTCTAAGGGAGGAAGGGAACTTGATTTGCTCCTTTGCTGTGTGTAAGTGTGAATTTGGAGCCACCTCCTCCTTTGTTTGTAAAACAGAGACCATTCTATGTCTTGTTTACCAGTCAGTGGTGGAGTGGATGAGAAGGCCCTTGTAAACTGTAGTATTATACATCAACGTGAGGGTGTCATTGTTGTCTTGGAGTCCTGGTTGAAAATGTGTCAGTTTGCATTTAAACACATTCAGTTCAACTGGACTATCTTGGATTATTTTGCTGAATTCATGTACCTACAATATTTAAATGGCAACGGAATACCTATCACTGACAAAACTAAACAAAAAAGGGGATATAAATGAAGGATCATTTTGTATCTGTATATACAAAATAGTTAAGATTGATATACAGCTACTTTCTCTTAATTCAATGAGAAAAAAGATTTGTTTTACTAATAGTGTTTGGACAGGATATCTTGTCTGCATCTTGTACTATGAATAACCACTACAAAGACAATAATATGCAATGTATTAATTATTGAAACTGTCCTACTAATTGGTTTTGCAACTGTCTCATTGCTATTGTTTCTCAATAAAAGTAATAACCCCCTCAAAAATAAAAAATAAGCACATTCAATTTAATGACATCTTCTCCAACCTTTCCAGACTTTGGGAATAGGCTAAGTTCCCAAAATGCTAGTTTTGTTTGGAATTTGTTACCCTATGTAGCAGAGAATAAAGACCAGTGTTCCTTAAAGGATTGGGGTTCTAAGATGTATCACTTTGTACCATATTGCAGCCTTCTCTTCAGCATTCCTATACATCCTGGGGCTTCCCGCAACTTACATGTGATGTGATATTTTTAAATGTTCCTTTGTCTCTGTCGGCCCCCCAGGTCCTGTGTGACGGACATGTGTGAGTGTCCAGCCCACAGAAACTGTTACTGTGAGTCCTTTCTGGCCTATGCCCGAGCCTGCCAGAGAGAGGGCATCAAGGTGCCGTGGGAACCCCAGCAGCACTGCGCAGGTAAGAGATGCCCAAGGACCCACCCGACAGGGGTCACTGTGTTGCCCAATGCCACACTGGGGATTGCGGATGCAGATTCTAGGGGCCACGTCCCCTCAGCCAGAACCCCGTGGGCAGCCCAACTGGATTGCAGTTAATAAAACGCAATGGCTTCCCATGGGGAAGGGGAGCCGATGCTTAAGAGAAGCCTGTGAGGAGCACATTTTAACAACCAGGGTTTCTGCTGTAGCCACATTCTCTCTACCCCAAGCTACCAGCTGCATGCACTTAGCACATGGGCAATTGTCACTGAGGCCTGGGCTGTGTGTGGAGCAAGCAATATGGGACAAGTACAGACAGTTAAGGCCTTTAGGATAAGCATGATCATTTTACAAAAGAGATTGTGATTCACACTGTGGTGAGATATTCCTCCTCACCCTCCCTCCCTCAGAGACAGATTTCTTAATGGTTGCTCTGAGCCTTTGTTCCCAGGGCAAGCTAATTAGCTTTATTTCCTATCTGTGAAATGGAAGACTTTGCACATCCAAAGCATGTTTCTCACCAATGGCTGAGGATGGGCTGGACACTGGGTACTGTTGTGATGCTGAGTGATAAGGCCTTTGTTACTGGGGCACTGGATGCCTGCAAGAGCACAAGACAAAAGCAATAATTCAGAGATGAGTACTTGCGAACTATGGTAAGAATGAAAACAGAGACACACAGGGAAGGACTTTCCCAAACAAAAGGAGAGGAGCTGGAAAGCCCTAGTGATTGGGTGAAGAGGGCAAGCTGCAGAGGCAGAAAGGTGGCAAGGTAGCACTCCAGTGTAGCCTGGAGGACCACAGGGAGGCAGATGAGCATGCTGTATAGTAAAAGCTCATTGAACAGACACACAGCATTAAAACAACAGCACTTCAAACTGGAAGGAGACCAGGGCAACTTGTCCTGGAGGACAAGGGAGAAAGTGGTCCAGGTGAGGGTGTCCGGCAGTAGCTGGCCACACAGAGCTTCATGAGTTTTAACCAAGAGACTAGCATTCATTCCAAGGGAAGTGGCAGTCCCTGATGGGGTCCAGCAGACCTCTATATTTTCCTGAGATGACCTTAACTATGCTGTAGAGCACTTCCTCTTCCTTTTTTGTACTAGGAACTATTTTCATGAAAGACAGCTCTTCATGGATTGGGGTCACTGGGGGATGATTGGAGGAGCACGAATCCAGATTCCTCGCGTGTGCTGTTCACAGTAGGGTTCCAGCTCCTGTGAGAGCATGGTGCTGCTGATCAGGGCATGATGTGATCATGGGGAATGGCTGTAACACAGCTGAAGCTTCGCCTGCATCTCACCTCCTGCTGTGCAGCCCAATTCCTAATGGACCACTGACCAGCACCAGTCCATTGCCCCATGGTCGTGGACCCCTATTATGGAGAGCAGACTGCAAGAGAAAAGACTGAGAGCAAGTGGCTCAGAAAGATGCCACTTGTCCTGAACCAGCGGGTCAGTCAACGAAGGTCACCTGGGAGAGCAGCAGGGAATTGAGGAGGGGACAAAGGGCAGAAGACTCAAGAAATGGAGACAAGACAGGATTCTGATCAAATCTCGTTTATTCAGGGGAGGTGCTGGGTATATATAGTGGAGGCATAGGGAAATGATGTTGGTGAGTAAAAGGCGCGAGTAACTAGGCAGCCGGGCTATGACAGGAAGTCCCACCTCCGGGGCATAGCAGGAGACTTATGGGAAATAGGCTGGGTAAGAGGAATTAGGAACTTAGCTCAGCAGAGGTAGGGGAGGAGGAAGTCAGTGTCACTAATGACGATGATGCACCAAGAGAATTTTATAGGTCAGAGGCACTCAGGTGACCATTAAGGGATACGTGGCATGGAGTCATGATGTGGCAGATTCACAGGATTTAGAAAGACTCACTTGCAATAGTATTGGAGGCCTGGAGTTATTGTGCCTCCCATAGCCACTACAGGAATTCTGGTAAAAAATGGATGGTGGCCTTTATTAGGCTGGTGGTTTATACCTGAAGAGAAGGGGAGAGGGTCTGGGCAAGTTTGGAATTTCCATGCTGTTTACTATCTCAGGCAGGAGCATTAGTTATGTGTAAGTGGGATATCTCAAGGGCATCCAGCTCACAGAAAACACTTAGTGGCAGCTGCTACTGTCCTGTGGATGTGAAGAGGAGATGACCAAATGTTACCTGATGGAGGGCCCAGCCCC